TAGACCGACGGCTGAGCAACCAGTGCCCCAGCAACACTCGATACTTGCCAGCAAGTTAAAAAACTATGGATTGGATAAGGTAGATAGAAAGCTGGCTAGATCATCGGGCTCAACGGGTAGTGATCAACATCTCGATGTCTAGTTGACAGCCGGTATCAAGCGGAGTGCCCCAGGGGTCGGTCCTGGGGCCGGTTTTGTTCAACATCTTCATTAATGATCTGGATGATGGGATTAATTGCACCCTCAGCAAGTTCGCGGATGACACTAAGATGGGGGGAGAGGTAGATACGCTGGAGAGTAGGGATAGGGTCCAGAGTGACATAGACAAATTGGAGGATTGGGCCAAAAGAAATTTGATGAGGTTCAACAAGGACAAGTGCAGAGTCCTGCACTTAGGAAGGAAGAATCCCATGCATTGCTACAGGCTGGGGGCTTATTGGCTAAGCAGCAGTTCTGCAGAAAAGGACCTGGGAATTACAGTGGACGAGCAGCTGGATATGAGTCAGCAGTGTGCCCTCATTGCCAAGAAGGCCCACGGCATGTTGGGCTGCATTAGTAGGAGCATTGCCAGCAGATCGAGGGAAGTGATTATTCCCCTCTATTCGGCACTGGTGAGGACACATCTGGAGTATTGCATCCAGTTTTGGGCCCCCCACTACAGAAAGGTTGTGGACAAATTGGAGAGAATCCAGCGGAGGGCAATGAAAATGATTAGGGGGCTGGGGCACATGACTTCGAGGAGAGGCTGAGAGAACTGGGCTTATTTAGTCTGCAGAAGAGAAGAGTGAGGGGGGATTTAATAGCAGCCTTCAACTACCTGAAGGGGGATTCCAAAGAGGATGGAGCTAGGCTGTTCTCAGTAGTGGCAGATGACAGAACAAGGAACAATGGTCTCAAGTTGCAGTGGGGGAGGTCTAGGTTGGATATTAGGAAAAACTATTTCACTAGGAGGGTGGTGAAACACTGGAATGGGTTACCCAGGGAGGTGGTGGAATTTCCATCCTTAGAGGTTTTTAAGGCAAAGCCTTGGCTGGGATGATTTAATTGGGGTTGGTCCTGCTTTGAGCAGAGGGTTGGACTAGATGACTTCCTGAGGTCTCTTCCAACCCTAATCTTCTATGATACCCCTGCAGCATAGTCACAGTCATGTATTGTACCAACAGGCAGAGATGCCAGAGGAATCATTAGAGTTGTTTAAAACACCTGAGCCATTCCAGGCATCTGTCGTGCGAGGAGATGAACATGCCCATTGCTCTAGTCCAGAGAAAGGCAAAGTAGTATTGCTATTAAGAGTCAATAGCCATGGGGTTGGCATGATGAGTTATACAGTTTGTTGCTCTCTGGCGTCACTTCTGTAGTTGTTGACATAACTCAAGCTCCTAGATTGAGAGACGGCTGATAACTAACCACCTGCATCACGTCTATGAGATGTTAACATTCCTGCATCTCAGTCTTGCTGCATAAGACCCCTCTGCCCATGTGGAGGGGCATTTTCTGGCACTCTGTTGGCGTGGAGGGTGTGTGAGTCTCGGTGGAAGTTTCCGGAGTTCTGCCCTCGAGAGCGTGTGTGTCGTTGCTGTGGCTGCCCCGTGGGAAGTCTGGAGCAGAGTCGAGGCCATGGAAAGGGAGTCGGGATGAAGCAGTGAGAGGCATGGACTCAGACATGTCCAGTGAGGTTCAGGGGAAGGTGCTGGGTTGGGTTCAGTGCAAACTGAAGCCTCATGTTAAAGAAGCTGTGTGGGCAGGGGCTAGCCAGAGCCATAGACTGAGGTGAGAGCTAGTGTGTGACTGGCTCCAGGGCGTGACTGGCTCTGGGTTACCCCATAGTCCAGCCCAGGGACCTGGTCAGTGTCACACTGCAGATCAGCTCTAGGGGCCCACACAGGATCCCCCAGGACATGGCCCCAGGGGTCTTCTCAGGGTCTCTGCTGACTCCCTCGTGTTTCGAGGAGAGCTAGTGAAGCTATGGATTGCTAAGTGAGGCATTACAGGCCCCCACAGTCCTGGTACTAAAGCATGCTAGGGCTGAAGAAAGGCCCTGTGTTTCTGAAGGCCCCTTGCCATGCCAGGACTCCCTCATCTGCTGCCATTTGTTATCACAGCTGAGCCCCCCAAATACCCTTGCCAGAAACACGTACATTTCCAATCCCAGCCAAGATCTGATAAGGACCAAAGCATCTGTTCCACATTAGGCACTGCATGCTCTTGTTTCTTGCCGAGCATGAGAAGGCCTGGTGAGCAGGGATGCTGTGTTCCGACGAGATCCCATCTGGTGAAAATTAGGGAAATGATAACATCTTTGCGGGGGCACAAGGGGAGTTGGTTTTGGTTGGCTTTGGAGTCACGTTTGGCTATTAAACTGATGGAAACCTAGATACCTTTCCCAGTTCTTAAACAGCCCGAGTCCTAAGCTGGCTGATGGGACAGTCATCTCCAGCTTTGGCAGCTTCTCTCCGTCCTGCGACTCTCCCATCAAGCACTCACTACAGAATGAGTAAACCTTGTGGCTGTAGGACTGGGACAAGGGAATGAGCCAGTTTTGGTCCTCCCCATGGAGCTGGAGATCAGATGTGCTGGGAAGCACCAAGAAGACCCACTTCAGATTCATCCCATGGCTCTAGAGCCAGAGAGGAAGATGTGAAAGCAAGAACCATGAAGGAATAACTTCACTTCCATCCCCTGGGTATAGCTCCTGGGATGAGGGAGTGAAAGGGAAAGACCCACTCTGAGTCCTTCCAGTGAAGACAGGAGACTCAGGAGACCCATGCCCCACCTGACTCTAGCTTATCTGTGTCTTCTGATGAGGGGAGATTGGACTATGGAAGTGTGTGTGTGTGTGTGCACGTGTGTGTGTGTGTAAGGTGGAAACTGTATTCCAGTCCTGGTTCTAGCACTCATCCCCTCTGAGAGAGAATCACCCCATCACTATGAAAGAATGAGAAGATGGGTCTCGTTGCTAAGCATGGCTATGATACAAGCAGCGTTACTGGACTGAAGCTTTCATCCCAGTCCCTCAGCTTCCTCCTTGAGGGTGTCAGTGGTTTGGTTCAGCAAATTCCTGCTGCATCAGCAAAAGTGTTGCAACCTCACGGGTGTTCCATTCATTGCAGTACCTTTCATCCTGTGAGCTTGACCCACTGCTCCAGGCTTCAAGACCTCCTCTCTTGCCTCTGTAGACAGAGCGAGGGAGATAGCATAGAGGTCAGGAGTAGCTGGAAGGCAGGAGGGAGGAGTCCAGACCATTAAGCCGAGGAGCAGCACAGCTGTGGTTGCTTACAAGACACTGAGCGACTGGTATGGATGGATCACCAGCGATGACACAGGCGTTGCCTCTCCTCTCCCCTGCTCTGCGCTGCCCCTTTGCCAGTACGCTGGGCTCACCACCGGCTGTGGCACGCACACTCCTCATCTTGCCAATAATAAAAACGAGCAGAGTATTGTAAGTGGTTTTCCCTTTTTCTGACACAAACCAGGGTCGGTTTTTACACATTTTTTCCAAAGTTAAAAATCCCCTGCTGGAACCCAACCCTTTTATTTCTTTCTCTCTCCTCCTCCTTTTTCCCTCCCTCCCCTCTTTCACAAGGCTGCAATTAGTTACCTTTAATGAGCCTTAACACTCTCTCTTTCACCCTGCCCCCCCCCCTGCCTGCTCACGATTGGCTAATTGATGGGGCCAGCTGGCTGGAGAGCCCCTGGAAATTCCTCCCAGGTTCCGCAAGGTCCTCTGAAGCAGCTGCAGCTGGGTTCACCTTAAGGTAGGGAAGGGGGGTGGGAGAAATTGGCTGTTCTGATGTCCGAAGTTCAAATGATGGCAGACAGCTGTAAGTGCCGATTCAAACACGCTGAGCTCTAGGGACTGAACCTGAGGAGATTTAACTGAAAAGAGGTCATGCCCTGCTCCAAGCCCTTTATGAAAAGAAACACACAGTAGGAGCATCCTCTGGCTAGATCTCTGTGCTAGGAATGAGATGGGAATTCCAGCTCTATGCTTCTCTGATCCTGGAGGCTGCTTCTCTAGTGGACCCCCATCCCTGACTGAGGGGGGTCTACCTTCTCCCATGGGTGAGAAGAGAATTCATTCTCCAGATTTCAGTCCTGACCCATCCCACTTTTATCTGTTTCACCCTGCCTTGAGATTCCCATGACGCCACTTGCATTGCTCAAGGCTCTTTCCTCTCAGGAGAATCCTCTGGGGAGTTTCAAAACTCAGTCTCCTTTATATTTTGTCACTGGAGCTAATGTGTTTATCCAAGTGATAGGCTGTTAGCTGTAGTTGGTGCTAGATGTAGTGCAGGCGTGTGTTCTGCAAACTGCTCCTACTTAGTTTTGTCAAGGCACTTCAGTCTTGACTGGCAGCAGCTCCTGCTATTTCAGTTCCACGCCCCACCCAGCTTTGCCAATGCCCCGTAGTCCTACCTTTGTATTCATTATGCAGTAAATTAGTGTGTGTGCAAACAGCCTGTGCAGTACTTACATCACACGCATGCCCTCACTTACACAAATGGGCTCCTGCATGCCAAAGTGTTTGGAGGGGGGCGGTTCTTCGTACAAACACCTGTAGAGACAATCACTGCCATTTTTCATTAGTCACTGGTCACCATTCGTTATTCTTCTGTGTAAAAATTTCAGTCGTCCAATCAGGGATTAGCAACAATACCATTTGATTCAGGTCACCAGTCACATGCCACAAATACCAGATCATGAATAGCCAGTTGTGAGCAGCCCTTTGGTTTAAAATTGTTTATCTGAAAGTTTCAGTGAATACATTAAACCCATACACAGAAAATCAGGCTTGGTTAATGAACAGAAAAGAAGGTCTAAATGAGCTGAGTAATACCTCCAGCCGGATTTATGGTGTTTTAACGATATTTTGTTCATTTTCAGACTGTGTGCAATGGCTGTTATCAGAGACATGTCCTGTTCAGCACAGAGGGCTGTGTGTAAAATACATCTATTCCCTTTCTTTTAGCAGCATTTCTCTTTCTCTCTCGTTTTCTCAGCTTGTGACTGCCACCCTGTTGGCGCAGCCGGTAAAACCTGCAACCAGACCACCGGGCAGTGCCCATGCAAAGATGGTGTGACAGGGCTCACCTGCAATCGCTGTGCCAAGAGCTACCAGCAGAGCCGGTCACCTGTGGCTCCTTGCATCAGTGAGTAATGCTGTCAACAATGCCTAGTTCCAATGTTGGTGTGTTCTAGACCTCCAGTTCCTCCTTTGCCATCTCGACAAGTGCAAGATCTTATAGCTATTTTGTTATCTGGGGCTGTGAAGTGCTTCCCTGCTGCCAGGGACTGTGAGATCATTGGCTCTTAGAAACTAAGCAGGGCTGGCATGGGGCAGCAGTTCGGTAGGACCTCTTCAGGGAGCACCACATGCTAGTGGATCCATACCCTCAGGGGCTCTGCGCTGCTGGAGAACATCTTTTGAATGACCCCGCAGCTATGTGGGAGCTCTGCACAAGAGGATTTCTATCTCTACTCACTTCCTTCTCTTTCATCTAGCTCCCCCGTGGCTGCTCTCTGCACTGGCAGCCAGGCCAGTGTCCCAGCTCCCACAGCTGTGCTGGACTGAAGCTGAACTGGAAGCCTTGGGGAGGCTGTAAGATTCTTTCCATGCTCCTTGCCCCAGGGAGGCCAGCAGTGGGAAGAGATTAAAGGTGGCAGCTGCGTTGTGCTGACGGGAATGGGATGCTCCTAGTTCCGCTCCCTTGCAGGAGCACAACGGGGCAGAGTGGGGACCCCGTAGTGCACAGAGTCAGCTAGCTGGCATCTCTCTCCCCCCGCTGATTGCAGTGCTGCAGGGAGCACAGCAATGGCTCTCGGGGCTGAGATGGGCAGCTCTGGTGGTTTCTCTAAAGGTCTCCTGGAAGCCTCCAGTTCCTCTTTATCTTGCATCATCAACAGCAGAGCTGTCCCAGCAGGATCATCGGATGCCTGGCCTGGCTCTCTTGTCCAGAGAGCAGCACTGGCTGGGAAGAGGAGATATGTGAGCAGAGAACATCTCTTCCAGAGGTTGGCTGGTGCCAGGGTGTAGGCAGGGAGACAGTGCTGCTGCACAGGCCAATAGAGAACATGACACAGAACACGGTGGCCTTGTCCCTCACTGCCACTTATCTGCCAGGGCTCCCAGCATGTCACCCCTCTGCACGGTCTAAGCTAGTCAACCTGGAGCTAGACGGTGCTGTCTGAACACGAGTGACCATGGCAATGGTATTTATAGGATCAGGCTGGTGCACAGTGCTGAGTGCCCTACACCACCATATGGAGCGGGGGGAAATGGGTGAGTCCTGCTCTTGATCTCAGAACGTCTATTGTAATAAATCCATTACCACATAGGACTTCAGGGTTGTGGCTGTGCTGCCAGCTTGGATACTTGGAACTTCATGGCAACTGTGGAGACAGAACTTAGAGCCTCATGCTCCTGAAACACAGAATGCCCCCTTTCCAACCACGTGAGCTAAAGGAGAATCTGCTTCCAGCACAGGGCCAGGCACCCTGGTTGAGCAGTTCCGACTCTACCCCCATACAGGCAATGGTAACACATTCACACTGCCCAGCTGATTACAAAAGAGTGGCTTGCTCTGTCTCACTGGATACCGGGCCAAATTCTGCCCCTGGTTGCATCAGTGCAAGTCTGGAGAAGGGCTGCACTGAAGTCAATGTAAAACTCCCATTTTCTTCAATGGTGCCAAGATTCAGTCCTAATTATAGTGGGCCAAATCCCCCCGGTGTTAACTCCATTGAAATCATCAGAGTTATGCCAGTCTTGGCTCATTGACTTCAGTGGAGTTATTCTAGATTCACCCTGAAAACAGAACCAGCGCCCACTATGAATGAAGCTCGTTAATCCTCTATATGAATCCTTTGGGGGGTGTTTTTCCTGGGCTTATCCCCTGGGGAACCCTAAAACTCCCAGGGCTCCCTCTAGCCTCACTGGCAGGGACAACAAGGGGGATGTACTATGATGCACTCCCTCTTAGTGCCCGGCATGTCCCTATGGCAGAAGCAAAGGAAACCAGCAGGGGGCGCTGCTTTGTCCTTTCTTGCTGCTAGCAATAGACTCTCCACCAGCAGAAGCAGGGGAGGGGGTATAGGTTTTGACCAACCCCGCTGTTGGAAAGCAAGCACCCTTCCTTAAGAATCTCACCCTTTCTTTTCCAGAGATTCCTGCCATCAACCCAACCTCCGTGGTCACCAGCACAGAAGAGCCGGCAGGTGAGTGCTCTAAATCCCGGGATACAAAAGACATAAGAACACTATCTGGGCACCTTGCAGCTATTCCTGTCTAATTGTATTTTCCCCTTGCCATTCCCAGAAGACTCCCCACTCTCCCCTTATTTAAGCGTGCACTGGCATTGAACACCGAATAGTCTCCTCATGCCCAGCTTGGTTGCAGAGAGCAAGCAGCTAGGTCTCCTCCAGCGAAAAATAAAATGTGCAAATGAGGTTTTAAATCCTATTTATTTTTGGAACCCAACCAAAGAAACTTGACAGGAGTCCTATGAGCCTGCCTGCACTCTGGCCAGGAGCAGCCCACCCCGCTCGAGGGAGGGGACCTAGTGCTTTCTCACACTGGGATTCAGCGGGGGTTTGTTTCTTTAATCCTCTCCAAACACAAAAGATTTCCCCTGAGTGCTCTTTGCCTCAGCATCAGCCGCCTCTGGGGAACATGTGGTTTCCAAGTCTGCTGTTCTTGTTCCAACGCTCTCGGGCCATGGCATCTGTCCCACAGCTGCGCCGTCCAGTGGCAGGTTGAGAAATGGGTCAGCTTGCACCACCGGAACACATGTTGAGTTCTCTTTTCAGAACCAGATGGGGCCTGGCCCTCGGATGGGTACTTCCCCCCATCCCTGCACTCCCACACAAGGGCCTGGCATAGTTGCTGTCCTGGCATTCTCCTGAGAGCAGGGAGCTCCTGGCCTGCCTAAGCAGACAGAAAGCATTGCTGGCTACAGCTGATTTCTGAGCATCCCTGAACAGCCATGGTTTGAAATGGAGGACTGGCCTCCTGTTGCTAGCTCCTCCAATGGCTTCCCTCCACCTATCTGCATAGCCTCCTTTCCTCCCGGACTGGGCTTGAGCCAGCTGCCTCTCTGTTTTCTGAGAGGCTAGAACTACAGGGTAATGGTGCACACTTGATGGGAAGGGGAGAGAGAAGCCAAGTGTCAGCTGCATAGCGATGGCATGGTAAACCCATAATGTCTCGCAGCCTCTACAGGAGGCTCGGCTCTGAGTTAAGCAGGAGAGGTAACAGGATTGATACCTATGGGAAACCTAGGAGAGTGCTTTGACAAGGAGAAACAGCTGTCCATCACAGTCCCTGGAGCTATCTAAGAGGAAGGAGCAGGACTGTTTTAATGGAACTCCACCCACCCCTGCTAGATCCTGCGGGCAGGTTAGTGGCACCTCATGGTCCACAAGCCAAAGACTGATGATAGCAAGAGCAAGGCCTTCTGTCCTCAGGCCTCATGACATCATCCTTCAATATGATGGACTCTATCTCCATCGAAGGCCCTGTTCTGAAATCTAGGCCTGGATAGGGTCTCAGATATTGCAGCAGAGGAGATGCTGCTGCAGGGGACCCATCCGCATCGAAGGAGAGGGATTAGAGATAGGATGGCATTGACAGCATTGCTAGCATGGAGGGATGGTGACCTGAGCAAAGGCCTGACCTGGTAAATTGTCTCTCAAAGGGGAAGTATCGACAGTCTTTCTCATTAGACATCCAGACAATTCCACTGCTTTGCACTACCCCAGAGAGGCACAGGTTTGATTTCCAGGTGGTGGCTTGGACTTCCTCAAACTCTTTTAGAAACTGTGCTTCTCAGATGGGCCAGTACTCAGTCAGGCCAGGCTCCTAGATACCATAGTAATGATTTTGGGATGGAGGGATAGATAGATAGATGTGGTGAATCTTTTACACAAAGCATGCTGCTATCTCCTTGCAGTGCTGCCATGTTTGTGCCTGAGTCCGGATAAAGAGTCCAGACTGATATAGCAGCCAACTGACAGTCTTCTGACTAGCTCTACTGCTGGCTGTGACCTGACACATGTGGTGATGGAAGAGTAAAGCAATCTCTTTGCTTCCCTCATCACTGTGGTAGAGGAGCCACTGTTTTTTAGGTCACATTTTCCTCCCCATCCCCATGTAATCCTTCCATCTAATCTGTCTGTCGCCTGTATTTCTGAGGTGTTTATTGCCATAGTAATAGTCTCCAAAGCAACCTCCAACTCACTCTGTATCCATCTGTAGTGTTCCTTATTGGCTAGTCAAAGAGCAGGGGAGGAAGGGAGTGTAAGGGTCTCTGACACTTTTTTCTTCTTCCCATCATACTACTCCCCTCAAGGTCTTGGTCTTCTCATACACCTCAGCATGAAAATAGCAGACATCCTACCCAGTTTCCACTCCTGGCCGATAGCACACATGGGGATTATGGTGCTAAGATGACACCAAATGCATGTTCTTGCTGCTCAGCACTTCCTCAGGGTCAGCCAGCCACCTTCTCGAGAGCTTCCCCCATAGCTGGCTGAGATCAGGAGACTCCTTGTAACGATCATGTGTTTGGACAAGTCCCTGACAGGGTGGGGTAGCATGGGCTTTCTGCATCATAGCACCTCCATGTTGTCAAGATGCCAGGTTGTCTCATGCCACTTCTGCTTTCCTAGTGTGAATGAGCTCCTATGGACAGGTCATGGCCCCCAAGTACATATGGAGGATGTAGCTCAACAACATGAAGTCTGGAGGTGTAGAACAAAGGGGATCCTTAGTGATCTCTCCCAGCCTCCTCAACCCCTCCTGCCTTACCCAAACTGGGCACACAGTGATCCCCCTACAGCAGATCCCCCCCAGCCCTTTGTGGAGTTAGTAATCTCTGCCCCCCACCCCCCAGCACATCTGTGAAGTCGCTTTTTAGTGCTAGGAGTTCTGTTGGAAAGTTCTTGCACGTCTCCCTCTGACATGGGCTCATGTCAGAGGGAGTATTTGCAAGTCCTTCTCCCAGCCTGGCTCAAGGGAGGACCCTTCAACAACAGACTGTCAGTGTTTTGGGGCATTTTCTGAGTCCCACAGATCTGTGGGGCCCCCACCTGGCCCACTTTTTTTTTTAAATATTCAGAGATTGACTGTGTTGGTTGCTTTATTTTTCCAACGAAAGTCACTTCAGTGTGAGCTGGAGTTGGCTGCATGTTTTATGGACTAGTGAAGATACCTCCCCGGGCCAGACTCCCAGCTGGTGTGAACTGGCCTGGCTCCGTTGACTGTAATGGAGCTACGCCAATAGCTGAGGCTTTGACCCACTGTCTCCAATGGAGCTGCAGATGAAGAGCTGGCTCATAGTATATCAACATAATGTCAAACTGGAGTGACATTTATATTTTTGTAGCCTAGCCTATAGTGTCTATAAAATACACTTCATTTCATGCAACAAGCATGGCATAGGGACAGTTCTCTGTAAGTCAAGTGACTTGTGCAGTATAACTGGACAAATAATAAGGGCTGTGATGAATTCTCGACAGTGTTTCCTGGCTGGGGAGGCTGACAATAGACCAACATACTCTGTGCTCCTACATTGTTCCCTAAAGAACCTCCTGCTGGAGGAGACTGGGACTCTGACAGCCACCCACCCCCACAGCTCTTCTACACATCATTCCTGACAGTGCCTTCAAGTGGGGGCAGCTAGGATTGGAGTTCCACAAAGCAGCACCCCTGCCCCATTCCCTCCAGTCTGAAATGGGATAGGGAGCTGTGAGATCCCCCAGCAGGAGTCCTTTGTCCAATCCCTACAGTCCCTCCTGCTGGGATAGTGAGGATTGGTAGAACTGTGACCAACATATCCACTGTTACCTAGCAACTCCTGCTTGAGAGGCTGAGCTTGGTACCACAAGATGAGCGCCGATGCAGTCCACTCTGCCATTCAGGGGCTCCATTTTTCATTCCTACCTCTGGTGAGAAGAAGGTGGGGAATCCGAAAGAATTTCTTTGGTCTTCATTGTTGGGCAGGAAGGATTGTGGGGAATAAATTCAAGACAACTTCCCAGGTCACTTGGAAATAGAAGCTTTTTGCTTTTGGCCATTAGAAGTCCTAATCAGGAACATCAAAGAATGGACATTTTGGAAAGGAAACAAATGTTTTTTTCCGTAAGTGTTTGATCCCAAGACTTGAGTGCACTTTGAAAGGAGTTAATCAATGTACCCCGCCCAACCACAGTGCTTTACAAATAGGATGGTCTTAGAAATAGATCCTAATATTTTCAGCCGAATGAAAATAAATCAGACTTGATGGAGACCTTAGTGTTTATTTTGCTTTAGTGGAGCGGGCCTGTGTTAAGCTGCTTGAAGTTTTATCTAAGGGGTTATTTTTAAAAGATTTTTGGCTTCTAACTCAAGTATCGTCAGTGCAGAATCCATTCCAGGAGGGCACAGAAATCCAGTTCAGGTCCCTCTTTCTCTTAGATACACAGATTTTTAAAACCAGAAGAAGGGACCATTATGATCATGTTGTCTGACCTCCTATGTAACAGACCAGAGAACCCAGCTACATCAAGGCCATAACATCTGGTGGAGCTAGAGTACAGGACAGCCCAGGAATTGGGTCTGGGGTCTGCTTCTCCCTGGAGCTGTACCTATGGGCCATTCCAGGAGGGCACAGAAATCCAGTTCAGGTTCATAGGTGGTCAGAAAATTTTCACTGCAATGCAGCTTTGATGAAATAAGTAAAAATCCAGTGCCATTCTTGTCCTGCCCTGCTCTGCTCAAGTTCCTCTTCCCCCAGTGGCATTGTCTCTCAAGTCTGTATATATCCATACCCTTGGGTCTGTCCTCCTCTTTGCAACCCCTCCAGGCTGGCATGCTGTGTCCACCTCAGGCTTCTCTTTCCGAGGCTGGGCCTCAGAGGGCACTCTTGTGCAGGTTGTCAATCCTGGATCCTCCCAACAGCTGCTGAAAGGAGGGAGAGGGGGAGGCAGGTACAGAAGCTAGAGGACCAGACTGGCAGACCTGGTCACTGGGGAGCCTGATTCCTAGCCCCACCCCTTCACTGAGGCCCCACCACTTCGCTGAGGCCTTGCCTCCCACTCACTACATGCCCCCTCCATCGATGGCTCGTTCTCCTCCACCCTCACTCACTTTCACTGGGCTGGGGCAGGGAGTTGGGGTGTGGGAGGGGGTGAGAGCTCCAGCTTGGGGAGTGGGCTCTGGGGTGGGGCTGGGGATGAGG